ACAAATTTAGCATTTACTTTGAACAGTCTGCGTATTCAATTAAGCTGCTCCCCCCTTCCCCCTTCGCACCACCTAGCCATTGGCCACCTCTCTCATACTGGCCAGCAATTGGTCGGCCAACTGGCGCGCTAATCAGCCAAGAGAAAAAAATTGACGAAGCGACCGACGAAGGCGGACAGCTGACTGCGTCAGAGCATCGCGATAAGAGCAACTTGCATTCGGCTTCGACTTCCGCTTTGCAACGACTTTGGAAACTGAAAACAGAAACAGAAACAGAAACTGAAACTAGTCGAACGTCCGATCTGTCCAAGTTCAGCTCATTAATAAAAAGCACGAGCCCCCACGGTTGATTATATATATACACATATGTGTATGTGTGTGTGTATTTGATTTGATTTGTTTTTAAATGAGCGTCAGAGGCGACAACGTGTTTTGTTGCTGTCATTCATGATATATCAGCCCATGCGCTTAATGGTCTTCACGGGGTCTTCTGGGCGGTTCGGTTCGGCAATGGGCTTAACTCAAGTTCGAATGAAGAGTTCTTGACAAATGCGTTAAATAACTTAATAAGGGGTTTTTCTATTGATTTAAATAGATGTTAATGGGCTTTATTCATTTTTTATTTTCGCGAAGAAAGGGCATTTAGATATCGTGGTTCTAAACAGCTATTTAGCTCGTGTCCTTGACCATAAACCTGAATTGTGTTTCTTTTATTTATTTTTTTGTTTAGTTCTGTTTTCTTTTAAAAGCTGTTTTTGCGTGCAATTCGGCTGCTGCTTTTTTGTTTGCTAAATTATCGCTTATTATTCAGTACGGCATTTGCGGAGTTTAATTTGTTAATTAGATAAATAGAAATTTTATTTATGTGCACTGAGGTGCGGCGACTTTTTCCAGCTCCCCTGCAGCCCCCTCCATCAAGCTTAACCTTGAATGTGCAAAAGGCAAAGGTAGATTTTGTTTTGTATTTTTTTTTTTTTCGCTTGCGCCCGGCAAAAGTAAATCAAGATGGCCATAAAATATGCCCCGAAAAAAAGCGTTAAAATTCTAAATAAACAAAGCGAAAATAAAGCAGCGACAAAAGCTAAATAAATGCAAAGTTCGAGTACATTTCAAAAAAAAAAAAAAAATTGTATATATATATAAACATATTAAAAATTCCATTGCTTGATTCAAATTCTGATTGTGGTTTCAATGCACTTTTTGTTGTTTCAAAAGCATTTGCTGCTGCAGCAAAGCTACATTCGCAGTAGAACGAGGGAGGGAGAGGGAGAGAGGGAGAGAGAGAGCGCGTATCAGAAGGCAACAACAAAGAGACTCCAGACAATAACAAAACAAAGCGGCGCGTCCTTGAAATCGCGCGACAGGGCCGCTAAACTCAAGCGTCGACGCAAATAACTCACAATAACGGCTGCACAGACGCGGCATAAGGGCGGGCGGGGCTACCGGGCGGGGGCTTACCCCTGAGCCAAAGAGAAAGATTGAGGACTGGACGAAAGAGAAATAGCCAGCCACATGACGTATGACGTATGACGTGGGATGTGGGATGTGGAACGTGCGATCTGTGAGTAACTGTCGCTAAATGTACAACAATGCATCGCATCGAATGACGACGACATCGCAAACTGCACGCCCAAGAATAATTAGCTATATATAAATTATCTAAATATGTATGTGGACAAATTTTGTTTTTCAATTCAATTGCCTTTACATGCTCAAAGAATTGTCAAATAATTGCAAATGCTACAAAATAGGAAGAACAGTCTGGCGCGACTAGATGATACCCAGTTTTCTAATTCGTAAGTGCAATATAAATATAGAATCAAATATAGATCCCTAACAGGATGCAGCCGATGCAAAGAAATTTGCAAGGCTCTATAATGATCTGCTAATTTATATAAAACTTTTAACTCTTAGTTAACATATTTTATCTTTGGCATATGGTAATCTAGCACATCGTATATATTTTGAATGGAATTTAAACTTTTTGTGGTAGATCAACGCTTCCTTTGAATATCTCTAATAATATAGGGAATATGACGCTCTATATAACCCTTTATAGCTCAATTCATGTACACAGGGTATAAATATAGATACATATATACTATATGAAACAAATCGTTTTTGAAATGCAAAAACATTCTACAGACTATATATGTAAAGAGTTTTATATTACACGTAAACACTTGTGCAAAATGCGGACTCTGCGAAACGGTTGAGGAATTATAAAGTGCCTGACATTACGTTGTTTTTATATATATATGTAGGGAATATGTATATCAATTCAGGGTTGTAACAGCTAGACAAGCAGAAGATTCAACACTTTCATGTGTATAGAGGCAAATATTCTGTTAGAAGGTAAATGTAAATTTGTTTCAGTTATATTCTTGTTATGCATATATGCATATCGTATTGATTTACAGGGTAAACAATAATCGCGCTCTCTATTTAAAGTTGGGCGCACTTGATATTGCACTCTCCTATACTATTTTTATAGCTCTATAAAAGGTATTGAAATTTTGTCATGCATGAGAAATTATTCGTTTCGAGATATCTTGACCAAACTGGGCATTAATTAGTATTGATATCGGACTTCTATATCATATAGTTTTACTGAGAAACATGAGAAATTGTCTGTATTTCATGATGTGTTGAGCAAAGTCGGCAATTACGAGCATTACATAAGGGTATTGAATCTTCGAGGTGCCAACGATAGGCTTTCTATATTGTTGTGATTTAATTTCAGTTTGGGATCCGCTTTTGTGTAAAGTGCAGGGAATTACGAATGCAGCGAGTTCAAGGACTGCTCTTGCACCCACAGATCGGAGGGGAGTGGGGCAGAAAGAAAGCGTTTATTCAGCGACTCGCAATTGGGGCTTTTCCATGGTCACTGAACATGGAACTTTGGAGCAGTTTCTGCCCACTTTTAGCCTTCGTTTAATTGAGCTCTAGCCGCTTGACGCTAATTTGCCGCTCTACTTAATTCCAGATGAATGCAGTGCCCATTTGTATTGCTTTGAAATCCATCATAAATCAGAAGGAACATTTCGATTTCGCAAATTTTTATGTTGCAAATCGCACGTTTTGTGTTATTTTTTCATGCTCGCAGATGCGTCGACTTTTTGATTTACAGATCGTTAAAATATAATGAACATTTCCACAAATATCGACACGTGTGCGTCTCAAATTGATTAATTCAATAGACTTATGTGTATGTGCGAAGATCTATGTGTTTGCGTGCATATATACTCGCGTTTACGCTCTTTGTTATTGTTGCTAGGCGAGAACGGGTTGATTTTCGAATAGGTCGGGGCGTACGCCGTCTGAGTCGAAACCCGAAACTAGCAACTGGGAAAGCTCCGGTCGAGAGGGGCTACCAAATACCCTGCAAATGCTTGGTCAGATATCCAATCTATATAAATCACATATTACCTTACGAGTCTCCAGTACAAAATTAATCTCTTAATGTGGATCAAAACTCAATACAGCTCAGATCTATTAACATGCCTAGGCCATGCATATCGACAGTTTTTTAATACCTCGTTTGCTCATTTGCATAGTTACAGGGTATTTAAACGGGAATAACGCAAAACGCATCAAACTTGAATAAAAACAATAAATACAAATGTGTGTGTGTGTGTGTGTGTGTGTGTCTAGCAACAACAAAAACAGCAAAAATAACAAACAGCAATATTAATAAACAATAATTGTTCAAGGTCAAGATGCGAATTTAGCTTAGAACAAAACAAATGTGAAATAACACGTTGAAATAAATAAATATGCAAATTTGATAGGCCTGTCAATACCCTGTACTCAATATTGTCCAAGTCTGCCAAATACTACTGCATAGTCTAACTTTCACGAAAGTTCAATTTTCTTTTAACAGTATTCAAATCCACACATTTCATTTCCCAAGTGGTTTTAGCAAGACAGCGGGAAATAGGGGATTTCTTAAATGCATACACATAATATGCCTGAGGAGGCGTTGGGTAATTGGTATGGGAACAACAGGTTGATGGCGTGTTCTTGGGGCTACTTAAGCGACACTGGACGGGGGCTTGGCAGGAGGTTTAAGTAGGTGGTTGTGTATTCACAGGCAAATATTTGTTTGCAGGTGGAATATTATGAAGTGAAACGAGCAACAAGTGTGAAAATTATAAAAGCTAATGGGAATTCCGATGAACTAACTAACACACACATTGATGAGACTTGGGTGGAATTATATTAATATATGGGGTTTATGATTAAGAGTATAGGCGTGTAACATAAAGGAAATCGTCTGGAAGTAATAAAGATTAAGAACCTATTCAACTGTCAAGCTGACAACAACTTGTGCTGATCCTCCTATGGAAAGTGATCTCACTGGATTCGCTTGGATTTCGCTTAGAAACTGCTCTATCCCAAAAACTGCGCACTTTGCGCAACTATGTATTTTATTTATTCAAAACAAAAACTATTTTTGAATACTTTTGAGTGTACACAACTACACACACATAAGAACCGCAAGTCTTCCCCTTCTTCTTCTTCGTCTTCTAGCTGGTGACTGAGTAATACGAGTAGATGTACTCGTTTGCGTACAAGCATTACGGATTTATTATGATCAGATTTTTGGCATTTGCGCGTTATTTGATCGCCGACCAGAAACGTCGACGCCAGCGCAGGCAGCGGCAGAGGCAGCAACAGAGACAGAGACAAAGTCGAAGGCAGCAGCAGCCCAAGGTCAGCGTCTTCTCATCTGCTCTTCTGCCTCTTCTCGCATGCTTCGACTTGAATAATTAAGTGCGAAATAAATTAATTTCAGTAGAACTTTTCGGCATGCGCAGCCCATATTTAGTCGCATTTGGGCAATTGAATGGACATATTAGATAAACGAATATGGACACTTAAATACTCGCTTGACCTTTTCACCTTTTATGGACAATGTTGGCAGTTAAGGCGAAGGGATATACGATGCTTATTAAATAATTAAACATAATTAATGAAAAGGCTGCTTAAGCACTTACCCTCTTCCTTCTTCTATCTCTCACGCTTGGTATCTCTCAACTCCCATTAAAAGTCTGAGGACAGAACTTTTCCAAGTTATATAAAAACAGATTTATCTCTATGGTAAACGGTGTTTCATGTTCCAACTGCTTCGAATTTACTTCAAAATAATGCTGAATAACACTAAAGAAGATTGGCTTGGACTGAAAGAGAAAACTGCACAGATTAATGAGAAATCGAGAAATAAGAGCTCTAGATATATGTATATATCAAAATTTTAAAGATATTAATTGGGCTAAAAGCTACTATTATTTTATTTTATTTAAATGTATCATGATCAAAGAAGAAGAGGGCATGGCATTGTATGGATTGCAAAGATAATGATTAGAGTGATGAATAATTGAACGCGAAAAGGTAGGAAAAAATAATATCTAATAGGAAATAATGTAAAGTAAGCTAACTTTAAGCCATTCACAGGCATTTACATAGATAAAAGAATTTTTAAGAATGAAGAATATATAAGTATGCCATTAGGAGGATCCTCTCCACCAGGATCCACCCAGAATAGTCTTTAAGCTAAACGCGATTTGGCCTGGCCTTGTCCCCATTAATAAAAATTAATTATAAGGCACAAAAACCTTTCCAATTATCATGAAGATACCTGTTTTTCATATTCCATTTAATGTTATTATTATTTTTTAATCATCAAGCGTCGAGCAAGCGGGAAAATGAAACCGAAACCGAATGCGGCGCCGCCGCGTGGAATGCAACATGCGGCCAATGGGAAAGGAGGCGAGTGTGGCTCAGCTGTGAAAGTTACGGCCTGTGAAAGTGAAAATGGAAATGGAAATGCTGCGTGGCATGAAAACCCACTGACATCAATTTGGGCTTTTCAGCTGGTCGAGCGAATGGGCGGGTAGCGAGGCGGGGCGGGCGGGGCAGGGCTGGGGAAATGTGAGAGCTGCCGCGGCGGCGCAGAAAATCGACAATAAATTGCAAATAAAATAAATACTATAATTTAACAACTGTCGCGAATAGGCGGGCGACTGGCGGTCGCTGTTTTGTCGCAGCAATTAAATTAGTTATTAAAATAATATTTATTTGTGCATTTATTGCCATAACAAAAACACACGCACACAGCCTGCGCGACCTTGAAAACAAATATTATACTAATATAAGTATTATTAAACAAATGAAATGTGAGTCAGTAAATGTTAAAAATGAATTAACAACTGGTTTCGCACAGCTAGGCAATTATTATAAATTATACATGTTTCAATTTAAACAGGATGCAAATTAGAAACCAATAAAATAAAATACGGATCTGATTTTTGTTAATTCGCAACTTATGCTACCATTAGAAGCATCAAGAATCATCATTTAAGTTAATATCACGGTTTAAATTTGTTAAAACGATATCATCAAGTTAAATTATATTAATTTTAATATCATATAGAGAATAAACACAGTCTTTAGACGATGCATTTCAGTTAATATAGTTAATAATTTATATATTTATCAAAAATTAAAACCAATTTTTGAATATGAACCGAACCTTTACCGAACTACTTGGCTGAGAAAAACGATCCAAGCCCAATCAAGGTTTGAACCAAAACATAGGAAGCTGGTTCAAATCTTAGTAAATATAGTTACTGGGTTCTATGCTTTTAATAATAATACATAACAAACAAAATAGGTTTGAACAAAAGCCTGCATAAGAAGCTGGTTCGATTGCTATGGACATTGCCAAATTCTGATGCTTTTAAATGAAATGACTCATAAGGCAGACATATTCATTTCAATAAATTTATGTGCAATTTGTATTTACATAAATTTATTGCAACAACAGCTGCAACAGTTTTGTCCACGCCGAAGCCAGGTGCCGCTGACGCAGCCAAACTCCATTTGCATGCGCCGATGGGCTGCGAGCGCACTTGGAGCCGGCGTGATAAAAGCCACCGGCTGTGGCCGCAAAAACTAGCTGAAGAGAGGCCGAAGAGTGTCTGAGCTATATAAAGGAAAGAGAAAAGCAAAAGCTCGAACAAAAGAGAGCGGCATAAAGAGCACACAGGGAAAAGCTCTTGAGCGTGCGCGCTGTGGTGAATTAAATGCATTTAAATTTTGGTTGCCTGCAAGAGCGTAACAAAATGCCGTTAAGAGGCAAACACATTGCTCTGCTGCGACTTAAATTGAAGGGATATTGAAATTAATATAGTTATAAAGTTATTGTTATATTAATTAGTTCATTTAAAAGCCATACAATTACAACTGACGCAGACATATAAAATTAAGTAAAGTCCACAACTGAGCATCTTTCCACTGGATATTTGAACTTTTATGTTGTTTTCATTAACTGTACCGCTTCGAGCTAATTGTTAAGCGACGGCAGCGACGCCGGCAGCGAGTGCAAACTCGACCTTGACCGTGAAATTTAAATTTAGAAGCTACGGCCGGCTACGACGTAAAAAATGCAAAAAGCTTTTGGCTTTCTCTGTGTAAGTGTAAATGTAAATACATACATGAATAAATATGTATATACTTATTAATAAGCAGCCATATGTTTGTAATTGTATGTATGGGATGCAATTGTAATTGAATGGCGCGTCAGGCGCTAAATGCCACAGGTATTCCCTGCCCACCGGGAAAACAACAACAAAGACAACAACATGCATGTGTGTGTGTCTGAATAGAAACGTACACATACACATGCATGTTTATATACGAATGCAACTCAAATGTCTCGTGTGCTTTTGAGCTATTTGTGAAATTCGAATTTTATTTATATCAGCTGCAGACGCCAGACGCTTTAATTGAAATTCGAACTAGCATGCAATTATGCTAATAGTCTAGGTATACGAGAAGCAACTGAATACATATGTACAAACATGTATCAAGTCGCTTATTAGGATATAAAATAAACTTACCATCAAATTTAAAGATCGAAATTATTTATGCACGAGCACATGACTGAAGCGTCAAAATAACTGTCCGTGCAGAAAAACTTATCGTTGAGTAGAAGTTTTACCGTTCTATAAAAAAATCGATGTGTTACTTAGAATATACTCAGAGTACCAACATTAACGATCTTATTCTGCTCCTGATCTTAAGCAACAGCGTTCACAATATTTTAATATAGAATAAAGGAAATAAAGTGGGCATTATTAATTTACAGGTCAAATGGAAAGATGTCGCGCAAAAGTTGTACAGTGTGGCCAGTGTTAGACAAGTATAAAAATACCAACGCCTTGAATATAACTTGCTTTTGGCACAACTTATGCTGTTCAAATCAAATAATCAAATATTCGAGTTCGAAATGCCCAATTTACCTCAATATATAGCATAGACAAAAACACTTACGATTTATCGGCTAGCCTCCACCAACTATCGGACAGATAAACGAAAACAATCGATAGCCCATAATTGTTTCCACACAATTCGCGGATAGCCAATCAGGTCCGTGGTTTTAATTTGTGTAATTTCTTACCATCTGCTGATTGTCAGTGCATAAAGTTGAATTGGCAAGACTTTTGTTAGCCCTGTGAACTTAATTTTGTGTCAACAAGATTCAATTGTCGCTACTCGCGATTAAGCCGGCAACACAATCAACGCGCACGTGTGACGCTAACGTATAAATATACCCTAGAATCAAAACGTTTGCTCAGCTTTTACATTCCATGTTAAAATGCTGGAGGAAGAGCTAAGCGAATATTTTTTGTGCAATTTCAACGATGCACAGCAGCTGGAGGGTGAGACGTGAAATTAGTAAAAGCGCTAGCAAAAATTTATAGACTGTCTTACAGATTTGCCGGCTGACGAGCGTCTGCGAAAGCTGTGGGCCAGCCAAGAGCTGTGGACCGTGGATGAGTTACAGAAAATTATCAAACGCTGGCAGGACAGCCCACAGCAGCAGCCTAATGGGAACGAGGAGGCAGCGCAATTGCTAAATGATTTTCTGCAATTAATTTTCGCCTTTGTGCAAAACAATTTCACCGGACCCTTCGATAAGTTGGCGGCCTGCACAGAAATGCTGACAGATTTGCAGCTGGCGCAGAGCGATGCCCTGGAGCAGCTAAAAGCAAGCGGCGAGGAGCTGAATCCAAATGTGAAGACTGCGCAATTGTTGCTTATAGCAAAGCAAATGCTCGATACTTTAATTGCTGCTCAGCCCACGTCGAAGGTAGTTTCATTTGGCATAAATCTGAGTCCTTGCTAATCCCTTTTCACATCTTCACAGCTGCTTTGCTGGTGGCGTATGCGTATAGTCTGCCTGCATCAGCACATACTGGACGACTTGGCCAGCGCTCTTTACGAGCAATTTAAATTGGCTGCTGTCGAGCTGCGTCCTCACGTGACAGCCTTTGCCCAAAAGGAGTTGCAGGCGCTGTTGCTACTCGAATTAGCCAATGGCTATTTGCAATTTCATCGTTCCGATTTAGCATGCCAGACGCTGGATGAGCTATGCAAGCATCTGCAGGTCGAACTGACGGTAGAGGGCCTACTGGGCGTGCGCACTAAGTTCCAGCAGAAGCCACTGCCTCAGCTTTGCCTGAAGGTGGTGCAGCAGTCGGTGGACCTGGGCTTGCCAACGGCACTGCTGAGCAATGCGCAGACAGCGCTGCCTCAACTGCTGCTCCTTGAGGATGATACGCGTCTGGAGCGCATACGCTTTATCGAGCCAAAGGACAACGAGGTGATGACACTTCCTAGCGTTCTGCAAGCGCTCGTGCTGGCCAAGGTGTGAGTATTAGTTGAGCCCGTCTTCGGATTCAATATATATTGCTTATGTCCTGTAACCGTTGCTTAATCCTCGTTTTTTATCTGCTTGCAGCAAGCAACTGAAGCGTTCCCAGCCCAAGGATCGCTTGGCAGATGAGCAGCTGGAGCCCTATACGCAAACGCTTCTCTATCAGCAGCATGGACCGCTGCAGGTGCGCCAAGCAGCGCTGCTGCTGAACTGCCAGCAAGAATCGGGCCAGCGGCGCACTGTCGAGCGCAGCTGGAAGCAGTGTGAGGAGTGCGTCAAGCTGTTGGACAACGTGGAGAAGCATACGCTGCGGACACGGCTATCCTACGGCTTTGCCGCCTTTCTGCAGCCCAAGTGGCAGGTACAGCTGCAACTGGTCGATCTGCTGCGTTCGCTGGGCATGACAAAGACTGCGCTGGATATATGCCTGCAGATCCACGCCTGGCAGCAGGTCATCGAGTGCTATACAAGCCTTGAGCTGCGCCATAAAGCAGCAGAGATTATACGGCAAGAGCTAGAGAAGCAACCCACCGTTCTACTGTACTGTCTGCTGGGCGATGCTGTTGATGATCCCCAGTGCTACGAGCAAGCGTGGCAACATTCCAAGCAAACGAGCGGCAAGGCGCAGGCCTATTGGGGCAACTACTTCTATAGGCGCGCGGATTTCACGCAGGCCATCGGGCACTACGAGCTGTCGCTGGAGATCAATGCGCTACAGGAATCGATTTTACTGCGCTGCGGGTACTCTGCCATACAGCTGGAGCGCTGGGAGGCGGCTGTCAAATGGTATCTCGCCTACACGCATCTGGAGCCAAATGGTTTTGAGTCTTGGAACAATCTGGCCAAGGCTCTTATCAAGCTGGGCGACAAGGAGCGGGCACATCGTCTGCTCGGCGAAGCGCTCAAGTGCAACTACAACAACTGGAAGGTGTGGGAGAACTATATGCTTGTGTCGGTGGACACCAGCCACTGGGAGGATGCGATGCGTGCGTATCAGCGCCTCGGCGAGCTAAAGCAGCACTTTCTGGATGAGGAGGTGCTCACGCGCATTGTCTACGGCATTGCCAGGCAAATGCAGTCCGATTGCTCATCCGAAGCCATGTCCAGTTCGCTGCAACGCCGCATCACTCAGCTGCTGGGCCAACAATGTGTGCAGCATGGCAACGAGCCAATGGTCTGGGAATTGTCCGCCTTGGTTGCGGCGACGCCACTTAAAAAGGCCGAGCGGTTGGTCAAATCGTATCGCGCTTACACGGCAAAACAGCTTAACTGGGAGACGAAGTCCGCACACGCCAAGAAGGCGTTGAGCCTGTGCCTGGAAGCAGCTGAGCTGGCACTGGCTGCCATCAAGGACCATGCAGCGGATGAAAGTGAGGCCATGATTACATCGCAGCTCAACTCCAGCCGCCTAGCTGCCACTTCCTGCCTGAATGCGTTGAAGCGTGCCAGCCTAGTGGAGGTGCCGAAAGAGCAGGCTGATCAAATGCAGCAGCTGGAGCAGCAGCTCACAGAGTTGACCAGCATTGTGCAGCAGCGTATGCAACGCAACTAGTCCGTCGGCTCCTTGTACATATGTGTAAACCTTTATTAAAGCATTTTTATCATTTTCTAAATCTATCTAAAGCGTATTCAATTTTGTGGTGATGAGCACGCGCACGCTCTGGTCGAAGGCACCGGCGACGGCTAGGCCTAGTTTGTCGGGGTGCCAGTCGTAGCTGTGCACCGGCTGGGAGCTTAGGGTCACGGCGCTGATCATCTGCAATTTGCCGGCGACGCCCTCTTTGTTGCCGTCAGCATCCTCAATAACGCGACGATCGGGATATTCATATTGCCAGAGACGTATGGAGCCGGTGCCGCCGCCAGTCAAGAATATATCACGATTCTGGGGCACATGGCGCACAGTCCAGACGGTGGCCTTAGGGCCACTAATGACGCCATTGCTGCCCACGCTGCGGCCCGCATTGCGCTCCTCCACGCAACTAAAGCCCTTGGTCGGATGCTGTGTGCGCATATCATAGACCAGCAATCCACCCTCCAGTGTTGTCACCGCGAGCTTGTTCATTGGAATGTCGCGACGATCAAACTCCAGGCCGCAGATGCCATTCTTAATGGTTGCCTCCCAGCGCACAGCCATCGCACGCAGATCGAATAGCTTTAGATCACCATTGTCGTATCCCGCGGCAATTATGCGCTCCTCCTCGTTGTAGGTGTTCCCAAATGCCACGGCCCAGCAGTCGCGCCGTAGATTGCTCCTGTTTATACCATCTCCCATCTGCGAGGGCGGCGATATGTCTACAACGGGTGCCTGGCCTTGACGTATGTCCCATACTTTGATAGCGCCATCGCGACTTCCAGTCACGATTTCGGGTGCTCCACATTCCAGCTGCGTGCCGCCAATGGCATCGATGCAGTTTATAATGCCGGTATGCGCCTTCACGTTGTACACGGCCAGCTCCGGATGCTCCAGATCACTTCGGGAGTTAGCCAGGTATTATATATTGATAGCAGGCCCAAAATGCATGTACTCACAGCACCTGCAGCCGTCCCTCAAAGTCACCAATGGCCATGTGTCGATTGCGCAGGGAGGAGGCGCCAAAGGTGCCACACTTGAAGGCCGCCTTCTTCTCCACCGTCTTGACCTTCTCCAGCTTTTGCTCGTTAAGCTCGTAGATGTCCATGATTCCATGGCTATTCGGCTTGCAGCCAAGCACCACAAATTTTGCCGATAGCGGTATCCATTTCGTATCGTAAACCGTGTAGTTCACAGATTCGTGTAAATGTTCGATTAGCTGGGGCTTGTCCATGTTGCCAGCTATTTTCTATTACATGCGATTCAGTCTGAAAATGTTGATTTTGCAATTGATTTGAAATTCAAAATCAATTTGTTTGAAATGTTGCCATAGTTCCTTTGATGACATGCTGCCGAAAATTAATCGATACCTGCACTAATAATTGAAATATACGCAACACAGGTTTGGTGAAGAACACTCACTAGGAGATACCCTGTGCTTACACACATCCCACACACAATTCTTGTTATTTATCAAACATATTCCACACAAAATTTTAAAACGTTCAGAGTAAGATTATTTTCCAAAATAAGATAGAACTAATTCATTATTCATCACTGAGATCAAAACTGTATGAACGCACATAAATATAATATACACTGCATGCCCATATCTTGTCGATTGTAATGGGTATTGCGTATACAAACTATCGATAGTTCACCACGTTTTATCGAACGGGGATTGATGCCGTAACAACGCGAAATTATTAAAAAATAATTTTGTAAAAGAAAAACAAATACCTTGGAGAATATGCTGCGCGCAGGCTGTCAATTGTTCAATCCGTCCACCGTGGCGGCAGCCAAGACGGGCAGCAACAACTTCGCCTTGGAATTCGTGCGCTGGCGGCGAAAGCCGCGTTGGCTGCCGGTGGCCAAGAGCAAAGTTTTCCGCGTGCCCGAGCGAAAGAAGCAGTCAGAAGAGGAGCGCACGGAGCTAATGCGGCTGCACAATAACTACAAGTGAGTAAAAGAAAACATGTATGACAATTAACAAGTGACTGATGGTTATAATTACTGACGTTTAGAACCCAGTTGCGCTCTGTGCGGCAATATTTGCGGGAGGAAGTGGTGCGGCAGCAGGAGACGTCGACGGCGGATCACATAGTATTCACGCCCGAGCAGGAGGAAGCAGAGTTCCAGCGATGCCTCGAAGTGAATGCCGCATGGAATGCCCAGATTGCTAAGGAGCGCGAAGTCCGCTTGGCCAAGGAACGGGAAGAGAAGGTTGCCTACATCCAGGAACGCATTGAAGCGGGTAAACTACGTGCTGAGGAGCAACGCGAGCGTGCCGATCAGCGCATACGCCGCGAAATCGAGCAATCCAAGACGTTCATCACACGTGATAATCTGGATGCGGCCATTGAAACGGCACTGGCCAATCCCGTGGATCACAACTATGCACTCGATCTGGAGGGCAACATGCTTAGGGGGCGTAGTACGCAATCGCTAACTAGCTAAGACTAGATATTTCTTATATTAAAAAATAAAGAGTACTTGTAATCAATGCAGTTAAATAACTTAGACTTAGGCGGCCTATTTACAGAATTATTATATGCTCCTAAACTAAACTAAATAAAAAAGGACTCAGCCCTAGTCTAGTGAGTGCTACGTGGCGGCAGAGCCTGCTGCTGTTGGTATGCTAGTTGTCGCGGATGTTGGTTGCCTGGCGGCTGTCTCTTGCTGCTGAAAGAGATGCACCCAGTCGGGAGTTGCCTTTAGCTTGGCCTGGATTGGACCCAGATTGATCATGTTTCCGCTGCGCTGTTCCCGATTGCTGCTGATGGACATGAGCTCCTACAAAAAGCAATTATACCATATAAACTTTAAAAGGTTTAAGTTTATTGACATACCTGTAAGAATCCCGAGTCCAGGCCCATATCCAAGTCGAAGTGTGTGTCGCCCAGCAGCAATTTAACGCGGCCCGAACGATATCTTAATATCTTGCCAATTTGACCTTCCTCCAACTGTGCCAATAGACTGGGCTTGGGCGTACCGGTTGCCGCGGTTGTAGATGTTGGACTGTTGGGTTGCTCTGCCGAGGCACTAGACGCTGGCTGCTCAGTGGCTACAGGCGCATCTTCGGCTTCGTCTGCCACACAGGGCAGAACGTTGGGAAGCTGCATGACAAACAGCTGGGATTGTGGCGCATCGAGAAAGGCGCCAATACTGCGCGGATAACGACCGTATTGTGCGGGTGGCTCCTCCATGCTAGCCTGGACACCAACATGCAGGGTCTGCAAATGCTGGGCTACAGCTAGCGAGTCTGCAAGAAAAAACAGATTAACGATCTGTCATTTGCTTAATTGGATTAATGTTTACCTTCTTCGTCCGGTTTTGGTTTCGGTATGCTCACTGTTTCCTGTTTTATGTTGACTTTTTGGGTGTGCCACAGTCCTGTAAAGAAAGTATGAATCCGCCATTTCTTGTCCAGATGGTTGCTCCCTGGTTGCACCTACCTTCAGTTAGCATCACCGGTTTGAAGTTCAGTTCAGTCTTATCAAGCTCACTTTCATCACTGGCAGAATCGCCATCATCGCTGTCATCGCTGCCTATCAGCTCCCGCACTCGCTGTTCCTGCGACTTGTCATCCTTGCGTTTTCGGGATATAGTTACTTCATCGCCGGCGCGTGCATAGGCCGAGCCACCGCTTGAGGATTTGCGCAAATGCACGGCACCAGCGCCCTCTGAGAAAACGCCGGTCGTTTGTATGAGCGTGGAGTTGCCATTGCCAGCTCCACGTCCTCGTGTTGCTCCACCAGCACCGCGTGCTCCGCGACGAGCACCACGTGGCTGCGTAAAGTCCTTCGACGTCTTGACATTGCTGTAAAAGTAAAAGTTTGTAATCAGATGAATCCTTGAGAAGCTGCCGCCAACTACTCACATATTTTTGTTGCGCACTGCATTTAAATTGGGCGCAAAGACTTTCTTAGCAGCCGCACTGGCACCGCGGCCGCCCAGGGTCAAGTCTCTCGCTGGCGTTAGACGTGACATTCCGTTTGACATGTTGCTCAGGGGCGCTGCAACGGGAGTTGCCGCTGCATTGCTGTTGTTGCTACTGGCTGCGGCAACTGGTTGCGCTGTTGCTGGAATTCTCTTGGCTGGCATCGTGGACTGCCGCTTGGCACTGCCGCTGGCCATGTGCGGCCAAGTTAGTCCTTTATAATAACTGTCGTTTATTGATAAATTCAATGAGCTGGGTTTGGACGATGATTTGAGGTTATTTGGAAGAGTGTTGCAAAAGTAGTACGCACGCACATGCCGATAAATGGGATTTAAGTATCGATATCTTATGGACGATACCAGTGTTACCGTATTCAAAATAATTTGTCTTGCTACCACTGCAGTCTGCGCGGCATTTGTGCTTGTTGGCGAATAAATAATTCATGGTTATTAAATTATTAAGTTTTATTATATGTGCTCTGTGCTCTTTAATGATTGTTAGATGTGCGCGGTTGAATTATTAAGTCATTGCATGAAGATATGCAGACGCACGTCTCAAATTTAATAATTGTGCGTAGCGCGTCTGTTTGTTGAGACGTCGATCAGCTGTTTCCTTATTCCGATATTCAAAGTGCAAATATCGATAAATATTTTGCAATGGTGTTGGCGCCTTGGCAAATAAATTTGCTTATTAAATGAAATGCGTTATTATATTATTAATGCTATTGAGAGTGTTATGTGCTTGACTTAAAATTGTGTTTGGGCATGAAACCATACAAGCTCGTGTTTTAAATTACCCAATCAAATAAATCGCAGCTGCGTGCTAAGCTCTCCGATCGACCAACTCTATTTGTTACCATAGTAAGTAATTTATTTCCGTTATTAATCTTTAATTTCCTTTGTAAACAATATGCAATTACGGGTTCCTTTATGGTTTTTAAGAGCACTTGTGATAACATAAACATGGATTCTGTAGATTCATATTGATTGTGTGTCTGTACAGGGTATTTTGCAATCGAGCACTGGGATATATAATAATCTTTTCCTGCAAAATACCTATCCGACCCTATTAAGTATATATATATACATAGTTATGTATGTATGAATGAAAACTGTATTTCTTTTTAAATATTCAATTTTTAAATATTCTTACCCAACCTCACCAAATACTACCTTCACAATGCTGTCACGGTGAACATCATTTTATAATCTTATGGGACTGCGAACATACCATTATGTCTGCGAGGGTATGCAATTTTCGCGCACCAAAATAACTGTTATTTCTTGCTGTTGTATAGATAAAGATGTTCACCTGCCATTTACACGTGCAACCGCTAAAATTTCAAAGCCAAATTAGCAGAGTTCTTTTTACCGGCTTTCAAGTCGTATGACTGCTATATTCTACTTGAACTTTGAACAAACATACTATGGTGGATCGTTTATTTCAACTGATAATCAACTCGATAAATCCTGTATTTATTAGACCTAGCTTGATTAATTAACTTTAAATACTTTTAATAAATTGGATAATTTTATTATGTATATGCTGAATATTTTGTTAAAGGTTGTTCCCCATTTTCTGTAATAAGTGTAATGCAATATATACATTAAAACAAGGAGAGAGAGATTGAGAGAGAGCGAGAGCGAGAGAGAGGGAGAGAAAGAGAGAGAGAGAGAGAGAGAGAGAGAGACAAAGCAGACTGAAATGTTATGAAATTGTTCCAATGAATAATGAGCTATGTTGTTTGTAAACTAAAACAAGTAGTCAAGATTGATAAGCGTGGGCACGATTAGGGCCGCTCAATTGAACGGCTAGAATTTCATAATAGCGTCAAAGTTTAAACGGTCAGTATTTCGGAACAACTGGCCGCCGACGGACGTAGACGGAGCAGCGATAGAAAAATAAAGCATGGATCCAATTGCACAGCAGGCAGTAGAAGCTACGCAAACAAACTGTGATTCCGACTATATAGAAAAAGCTCTGGCACGCGCGTATAAAAGCGTAAATTTGCGTATAGAAAGCTTTCACAGCGAGGCAGTTAGTCAGCGCGGCGAAAACTTTTGTAGCGTCATCTATCGGATAAAAGTAGCATATCGCAAGAGCGAAAATGCGCCGCTAGAGCAGGGAAATTATATACTTAAGGACCTGCTGCCCATTGTGGCCGAGGTGGGCTCCAATGAGAAATTCATGTTCGAGCAGATACTGCCCGCCATGGCGCAGTTATTGGAGAAGACTTCGCTGCAGGAGCGCAAGTTAAGTGCTGAGTAAGTTAACCTTTCAGTTTTGTAATTAACTTATCTAATTAAAGTATTTTCACAGTTGCCTCTTTGCGGAGCGTGCCGCAGCCAAAGAGATCTATTTGCTAGAGGATCTTGGCGCATTGGGCTATACATCATTAAACCGCCAAAAAGGCCTGTCTCTGGAGGACGCAAGGATTAGCGTACACAAATTGGCACAGTTCCATGCCGCCTCCATGATGCTGCTGCACGAGCAGCCCCAGCTGGTGGCTCAACTGTCGCCCTCACACTATGCCAATGGTGTGAGTGATCCCTTCGCCCAAGTCATTTGCTTGGATGGCGCGGCTTATGCGGCAGATGTGGTGGCTGAGATGCCGGGCATGGCGCCAATAGCGGATAAAATGCGGGCTCAGCTGTCGGGCGATTACTCCGAGCGCTTACGTGCCACGGTCAGTGCCAAAAACACAGCTTTCCCAGTCATTGCCCATGGGGACCTGTGGCTAAATAATATAATGATCAATGCCGAACAGAAAAAGGCAATTATTGTAAGTATTCTAGATAAAGGAAGCAGGATGTTAATCCTTATTGACGCTGTACGCTTTCAGGTGGATTTCCAGAACTGTTTTGTTGGCAGTCCGGCTATCGATCTACAATTCTTTTGCTATACCAGCCTGCAGTTGGACGTGCTACTGCATCACCGCGACCAGTTGCTGCAGCATTATAACGAAAGTCTCTGCCAGACACTAACTGCCCTGAATTATCCTGGAAGCAAGCCAAGCTATGCCCAACTGCTTGATGAAATGGAACGTTGTCTCTTCTACGGCTACTATGGCGTCGTCTGCGAGCTGCCCATCTGCTGTGTCTCTAAGGATGCCGCTGAGGATTTCACTGTGCACACTTTCATAGACGCCGAGGCCATAAGGGCGAAGCGTCAACAGCTCTTTGCCAACGAACGTGTGCTGCAGACTTTGAAAGCCACCTTGGGTCACTTTGAGCAACAGGGCATACTAAATGCGTTATAAAAGGCAGACAACTTCACTACTCTTTTTTGTTTCACCGAAAGTATTTAGAGAGTGGTACGTGATTCACTCTAAATAGAAAGTTTTTGAAAATGTTAGATGTCCTAAGTTAGAGTTTTTTATTTAATTCTCGAACTGTATCAATGTCTGAGTCGATATAGTCATGTCTGTTTGTTGCCCGTCTCTATTTTTCTCTTTCACATATGATGGGGTCAAAGGGGTCGTAACACTATATCATATATCATAGATACGATCGTTGAAAAGTTGATTTCTTATGCTATATGTGCGAAATCCCTCCACGGAGAATACATTTTGCATTTGCCAGCAAAACCTAATCTTATCTAAAATATTAAAAGTGATTATATACATATCTGTTGGTTAAAATAGACCTGTAAATTGAGTTATAAACGTTTTCTTCGCTTACAAACTGGTTGTGCTACGGGTTGTTCCATGTGCTTGCTGCTCAGGAGGGTATGACATGTGCGCTTAAATGTAGGGTGTGGTCTGAGGGTCTTATCCTCTGCTTGGGTAGCTTCTTCTATGCTATGACAGCTATACAACCTGCATTACTCAAGTGCTTCAACTTGTGTTTATAAATAAATTTCATGTCTGCCAAAGTTTCTGGCCAAGATTTACGAGTAAGAGATGGCAATTGAATGCGTATGTGTGTGTGTATGGGTGTGTGTTGCATGTGCCTTGTTTGGCTGCATAGTGTGCGATAAAGTTGGCATCGCCTATTCCCCTAGCCCGCAACTCTGGCGAGGTGCAAAATATGCAAATCGCTTTGCAGTTATTCTTAGAAAGTTGTCAGTTTCCAAGTGCAGCTAAGCCAAGCGTGCAACAGCGTGGCATGGTAAGCAGACCAAAATGCACTTGACACCCTGCAACATGTATGTTGTAAGTGTTTAAAAAGCAATTTATTGTTTTACCCAAACGCAGGTACCTAAACCCACTCCGATACCTCATCCTTATGGGCTGGCAATGTGCTTTAGTAAGTCTGGACCGACTTTTCTTACTCTTACAACGATTTCTTGGAGTCTGTAGACATTGGTCATATTATTGGGCATTATGTGATCAAAGAACGCTTTTTTCTTTTAATTACTTGACTTCCTATTGCAAGCTGCCTTAAATACCATGCAGGAAATGCAATGTGCCCAACTGCTCTGCTGGTCAACCCGCTCTCTGGGCAATTTGAGTCGTGTCTCCTACCGTGCCCTCACTCTATCCCGAGTTGTTCTGGCTTTGAACTCCAAGCGGAAACTGCAACCAAAACCCAGAGCTGCAAGTTTGTCTTTCGAGTTTTTTTTTTTTTTTTTGGCTACTGCATTTCGCATTGCACTTGGTGTGGTATGGCAAAACAAATCAAAGACACGTAACCCTGCGTTGGCGACTGGTCTCTGCTGCTTGCAGGCATTAATTGCATTCTGCAGCATCACATTGCACTTTCAATTAGTTGCAAATGCCTTAACTCCGACCTAAACTTCGACTTCCACCCATCTGCTAGCATAGCCGTCGGCAAAGTAACAGGAAACGGAAGTTAAGTGCTGAGGCGAGGCGTTAAGTAAAATCAACCCCCAGCTCAGTAGCTGTCTCAGACGGGAGTTGAATGCAACAAAGCAGCATCCCAGCCATGACATTGGAGAATTATGCATTAATTGGAAGGTGATGTCGACTTTGGAGTTCGCATTTGTGCGGGGGTCTGTGACTTGACGCATGGGTGCAACTTTGACAGCGAGTTGATTTGTTTTGGCAGTTCCTTTGGCCAGCAGAAAGTTGACCTGTGCTTCTGTCTGGAGCTCAGTTGATGCACCTTAAACCGCTTGCACCCCTTGAAATTTGCATGCACTTTGCTGCCGGGCATTTTGACTCGCCCAATGTAAACAGCAACGGGCTGACCGTTGCCCAGTCCCTGCCTCTGGTCTAATGCATTTCAAAATAGATTTATGGTTTTCTTTCGTCTTGCATTAAGAGGTGTTCGTAAGGCCTGTGAATGGTGGGGTGGTTGGTTGTTTGCTGGCTTTGGCCGCACACGCATTTGTTTGTTTTCAATGTTAATTAAGGCTTACGATTACTGAAATTGGCTTAAGGGGTTTGTCTTATATGCTATCAATTTAAATATTAGGATTGGTTATCTGTGAACATATAATAAGATACTCAGCAGAAAAGCTATTGTGTCTAAAAGACTTCATTGCATTTACTTAACATATATGCCCCCATGAAATAATATAAATGTACATTTTCGAAACATACACATATGTATATAAGAACACTTATTAAAGCATTTGTTAGGCTACTTCAATACATGAAAATCGCATAGAAGGGTGAAGTGCAGTTTGAGAGAAGACTCTGCGCAACAATTTTTGCTCATATTGAATGGGCATATTGTATACATTTTGTTGCTAGTTTAGTAAATCAGTTTATTTTCTTATCGCAGTGGTCCATAGTTTTTTCAATTAGCTAACACCATTGAGCACGAGTGAGAGAGACTTAAGTAAGCGGCGAGCACACAATTAAAGGCAATAAATTTGCACATAAAACCATAAATCAAAGTCCGATCATAATCGCAAAGCGCAAACAAAAGAAAACAAATACTATGTGGGGAAAAAGTGGCTAGCGAGAACTTTACTTCCGCTGCTGGAAATGTATGGCATCCCCAATCGAAGGACCTCCTTGACCAGAGAAGGCTTCGCTTCGTTTATTAATTGTACAACTGTCTCCAATCATAATTAATGAACTTTGGGCACATCCTACAAGCGTCACATAGACTCGAGTCGGAACGGAATTCAAATAAAACTAAAATATATGTATCAACAGAAATGTATTCTGGCACACCATAAATCTTCCGTTTGGCAAATCTGTTCAGGGTTTTTGGTTTGGTTTTCTGTGCATTTGTTTAATGGATGACAGTTTCAATTAGGCACATTTAAGCATTTTCTGGGATTTCTTCACTATTTTGATTTGTTTTAAATATATGTGATTAACTGAATAGAAGGCACTTGAGCATGTTTAAGATTGCGAGTAACTAAATTCTATTTTCATTAAACTGTTCTGTACTTGGCGGTTCCCGTGCATGTCATCACCAGTTGAGGCTTAATGACTTTCAATAAATAATTTTCAGCCCAACAAAGCTGCGACGCAACAACAAAAGAACCCACAGAATTTACATATGAATGCCTGGTATCTTACGGCCGGGACATGTCGTTCCTTTTCCCAACGCCATCCCCAGCCAATTGGTTGTGAAAAATTGGACAGCTATAGCAAACAGCAAGCACACATGATTGCCATTCGAGAGTCGGGTGGGGGCTGGACTAGCCCTTTTCACACAGCTAATGACTAATGATGCCACAATTTATCTTGCCTGATTTGTAAGCAAGTGTTAATGTTTTTTAATTTACATTACGTCTTTTACACAGCGCAACACCCCCCGATTTTCCTCCCACTGCCCCAAATGTGCATGTGTGCATAATTACTTAAAATGAAACACGACATGTAGAAAAGAGCTCGTGTCATCATTTTGGAATTATTTAAATTCTACCAACTGACTTACTGACAACGCTGATAAATGAGCTAGTGACGACGCCGCAGGCCCTTTCTCTGGCAAACACTTCTTGCATTGCAGCTGAATGAAAAATTAACGCAATTTTCTTGTTTGCTTTTAAGCTTGAAAAGCTTCTGAAAACCAAGTGGTTGTATCATAAGAGCTTCTCCTGATAATTATGTGCGATTTGCATATGTAATTTTCCACATGAACGCCTGCTGCTGCTACTGCAAAGTCATTCCGATTAAAATAGGAAAACTCGAACCAGCGCGCTCTCTTTTTCTGACTCACTCTCCCTCTGTTATCGCAATATTAGAAATATAGTAACATGTACTTATTAAGACTGTATATAATTATTTGAGATCAGAAAATAATACTCGTGTCTTAAGTAAATTAGTAAATTACAAAATGAGTGAGTGTATTTAACTTACCTCAATGTGTGAGTGTTATTCAAACTCAGACCTCAGGCTTACCCATTGCTTATTGCTGCCTGCGATTTCCATTTATCCAAACTGAAAATGTAAAATATTCGTAACTAAGCAAATAAATCTAATGCAATTACCTTAAAAGCGCCAGAGATAAATCCATATTCCGGATGAGGGTTTATATGAGCTGGTTGCATTTTACAGAACATTTTTATGACATTTACGCGCGGCAATAAAAACTAAACAAATCCTTCATGCGAATGGCGCCAGCTTCATCTCAGCTGATTGATGAATTGCCCTACAGACTGTGGGTTAGATTTGAGTCTGTTGAGCATTTTAACGGCTTACATGAAGGGGCAGCTGTAACGAGAAGAGGGACGGCTTTTATGCGGCCCACAGACATGGGCCAAAAACTAATTACCTATCCTGGACCTGGGACAGTGCTCGTCAGACATTTACGGCGCTCGCTTTATAGACGGAGCCGTAGACGCTGCGGTTTGGCATTTGTAATATAAACGTACATGTATATACATATTTTTAATGGCATTTTGCATACGATTTACATTTTGCTGCACTGCATCGATAAAACGAAGACCCTTTTAATGGCATCAACGACACTCGCCGACAGACAAGCCGGCAAATTTGGCGCATTAAAACGCAACGTCGCCACTATAAAAGAGCCTTCAAGTTTTTTGGGAATGTGTAACAAATATAAAATATAAATGTTATTCATAGTAAAATCCCTTCCAACTTTCTAGATCGTTGCCTCTGTTGCTTTCGATGATAATTCAAAATGTGTGAAAAGGTTTTTGACACTTGTGGGCGGCGCTGCACAATTTATGACTTGCCAGCTGGCTTTAGTTTTTACTATTAGTTTTAATGTAATGAGGACGTTTTCCCTTCGAGATGTTTTCCAAGAAGGTGCTCTATAATCTGCCAAAAAAAAAAAAACATAAATTTAGCACATAAGTTTGCTATTTCTTTGAATTTTGCATTCAGAGTCAAAATTTAAGAGGCTTTGTTTATAAATAAATTTAGTTTGCTTTATGCAACCCAGTTATGAAAACTTAATTTATATTCTTATGAGTTCAGCATCAGATAGGAATATGTTTTTAGGGTTTTTTAAATCAGATTTATATTATCAGCCGAAATAAAAGTAATTATTTTTTTCCTTAGAAATCTTTTAAATTCCTCTTTTTTTGAAGTCTGTAAAAATATTTAAATAATTTTTTGCCTGCCATTTACTGCTATTTAATATGATTTCTTTAAAACGTGATACAGCTTTCAAAAGAGCAATAAAGTATTTTTTTGAATATTGTTGAGTAACAGACACTGCTTTAATAGTAGATTGAAAAAAATGGGTTTGTTTTTTGTGTATTGCAATCAAGAAACGGAGTTGTTGAGGCTTTGACGCAGAATTTGAATTTATTTCGATTGCCTACGCTTTGGGAGCCTCTGTTTG